TCAAATATCTCGGTCAAAGCTTTACCGATTCGTTGGAAAGGTATTTTTTCATCCTTTTTATTTCTTTGCAAATAAACTCATTCACGTCACAATTTTTATTTTTTTTTTGCCAACATCAACACATCTTAATTCAACTTGGAATGACGCTCGATCACCTTACTTTCTTTCATACTTCGAATGAGTGTATTTGCAAAGAAATAAAACGAAGGTATTTTCAAATCGGCCCAACTCACGTAAATCTTCGCGAATCCGATGTGACAGCTCTTGGAGTATTCGAAAGAAGGCTTTGCGGAATATTTACCGGTCTTTGCGACGGCAAGTACCGCAGATGATGGAACCATAAGCTGTATGAGCTTTACAATGAAACGGACGTAGATAGTGCAATGAATTAAAATACAGCGGCTCCGCTGGTTTGGCGATGCCGTTCGAATGGACCCAGACGCTCCAACCCCGAAAGCATTCAATTCGAAACCAGCTGGAGTGTTAGTAGAGCAAGAGGGAGTTCTTCTTGCAACGGAAAGACCAGGTAGAGAAGGACATGTCTTCACTTCTCATTGGCATCAGTTGAGACAGAACAGAAACGACTGGCATGCTTTGTTGAACTGGGCCAAAGTCCCTTAGGAGGCTACAGCGCCAAACAAAAGAAAAAAGTTAGTTGTATTTTTTAGTAATTTTATTTTAACTAGACGTCCACTCTGCACTGTTGTTTTTTATTCTTATTATCAAATTCGTTATGTAATTAGTTGTCAAATTTGTTAGGTGCATTGTGCTTTTATAACCGCAAAAACTTTTGATTGGCTCCACTAAGAACTATTATCCTTTTAGTTGCGTCGTTATTGTAGAGGACCATCGATATGTACATAGTTTTAAAAAGTAAAATCAAATGCTTTTTTCAAGCAACACATTTCGCTGGTTTTGGTACGGTGCGTGTCTAGTTACTATCGGACTGGTTCGATTTTTGCAAAAAATAATAAGTACTGAACTAGAATTTGGATTCACTAGTTCCGGGTTTTCCCTGCATGGTTACTCTTGTTACTTTCGGAGAATAGATACATTATTCTTTTGCACTGAAATGAAGAAAAATACATACAAGCTTAAAATTTCAGTTGATTAAAAGTGTCGTTTGTATGGAAATACAAATGTGCTTATTTCGCACACGCTTTGTTAGGCATTCATCCTAAAAGCACGCTTGAAATTTGTGCAACAACTTATGAACGTTTGTAGGAATGTAAAGCTTTCGAAAGCTTGCATCTATTTATTAACCCTTCTTCTACCAACCAACCAAAACGTAAACGGAGAATAGCACAGTGACGAAGCCAGTTGGTTCTCAAACAAAATTTTAACATATCTGCTATGGAACGGAGGAAAAGTGATTGCATAAGCTGACCACGCCGCCATTCTGGATATGGGCAAACAGATAGAGACAGTAACTAATATTCTACTTGGTTGTTTTATTTGGAGAGCATCACATTATTTGTCAGTTTATGTGGTGTAATATTTGAGAGGACTAAACAAACAAGGCGTGGTCCTAGACAGCACACAGGAAGTTGGGGTTTGCAGTCCAAGGTAGTTGAAATGGAACTGCTAAACTCGGTCAATAAATGAAGTCATAATCGTATCAGTCGTTGGCGCCCGTTATGACGGATCTAACAGAAATTTTCATACTACGAACTCCAAAGTAATTACGCGACTTCCTTAGAAAGAATGAAAAATACGGGGTCGTAAAAAAGTTTCAACGCAAATCTGCACGGCTACGTCAAAGCTTTATAAGAAATTTGGCGGTGTTTTTATAGTCTGATATTTCAGGTTCCACTTGCTTATAGGGGTTTTCAGGTAGACTAGATTTTTGTTGCATTTTCTCAGATTTTAAGTCAATAAACTTTTAGGGAGCATGTGCGATCCACCCAAAGCTTGTGTGCATTAGCTATAATGGATTACCTGTACTTTTTGTAACTATAACTATCAGAGCTGGGTCGTAATGATTCCTTTAGGAATTAAATTACTCCCAATTACAGATTATAAGGAATCGTAATTAGGAATCAATTCCTTCAGTCCACAGCAAAGGAATCGATTACTTTTTCAATTCCTTGAAGTAATTTCAAATGTAATTGGGTTTTTCTTTAATTCCATTACAAGGAATTTCATATTGTAATTGGAATAAATTACGTGCTAGTAATGTATTTTTTTTTTCCAATTCCTTTGAAAGGAATTGAAAATGTAATTGATTTGTTTTTCAATTCCATTACCTGGAATTGCAAGAGTACTTTAGTTTTTTCAATTACTCAAAGAAATTGTAAAAGTAATCGAGAGACTGAAAGTTCATTCACGAATGTACAATGTGGAATTTTTGTTGTGGTCAATGATTAAAATCGAAAGCACACATTGGACATCTTCTATGTATATCTATATATATAAAAATGTTGTGTTCGTAGGTCACGGTCATCAAAACTCGAGAACGGTTGAACCGATTTGAATAATTTTTTTTTTATTATTCGGTATAATACCAGAACCAATGATATCGCTAAAATTTGGAGGGTTGCCACCTATTTTAAAATTGTTAAACCCAATTATATTGATAAAATTAATGAATTATTACAATATGGGTATCAAGTTAAAGAGGTTTAAGAAATATAACTGCTGGAAGTATTTCTGACGAGGGTTGCCACTTATTTTAATATTTAAACTCAGTCAAATTGTTAAAAAAAAAGTGAAATATTGCCGTGTGGGTGTCAAACTAAAGAGTTTTAAGAAGGCTTACTGCCGAAAATATGTTTGAGGACGGTTGCCATCTGTTTGAAAATTTAACTAAATTATATTGATAAAATAAATAAAATATTACAATATGGGTATCAAATTAAAGAGGTTTAAGAAAAATAACTGTTGGAAATATTTTTGAGGGGGGCTGCCACCTGTTTGGAAATTGTAACTCAGTTAAATTGATAAAATAAATTAAATGTTGGCATGTGGGTGTCAAAATAAAGAGATTTAAAAAGGCTTACAGTCTACCATGAACACTTCCAGAAATATGCAATATGAAAAGTTCGGTTTGTATGGGAGGTGCCACGCCCCATTCTCCAACCATGCAAATTTTTCTCCATGAGTATGGAATTGGTCTTATATATGTATGTATATATCACCATACCCAGTTCTAGTCCTCTACCACAAATATATGCAGTTTGAAAAATTCGGTTTGTATGGGAGGTGCCACGCCCCCTTTCTATATCGAAACTTTTTTTTGGCCTATAACCATCCTTGGAAAGTCTGCAGTAGATTCCGAAATTTCAAAAAAATCGGTACGGCCTTTCTCGAGCTTTGCGAACAGAAAAAAACGCCTTTTAAAATATATATTAGTATAGACTAGCCAATATCTGCTTGTTTTGCGGCTTAAAACACTACTACCGATGAAAATCGATGGATAAATAAGCAAGTTTGCAAGGGTTAGGTTGAAGTGGCTGCTAGGCCCAGAGGGCGCCAGCACACTTAGGCCCGATCATAGCCCATTGTGATTTGCAAGGGTTAAGTGAAAGTGTAATAATTTTTTGTATAAAATACTAGCAGGAAATAATGTTACCCATACGCCATATCGTACATGACCGTATGACCATGTTTAAGTTTGATTTTTTTCATTCGCAATGAAAACTTAAAATGAAAATAACTTGACTAAATGACCTTATCTAAAAAAAAACGGTATACAGTTCCGTAACATACTACTTAAAATTAATTTTACGTCTCTCGGCGTTTTTTGTGTAATTTTAGCGTCGTTACAGTGTTATCATCAAAATTTAGCCATAGCAATGAAATTTGTTTATAAAACTCTTAGGAGGTAGGATCTCCAGTCCCACAGGGCTCGTAATTCAAGCGGACTCTATCCTCATTTGTAACGCAGGATACCAGTAAGAGTACTTCAAAGGCCCCAGAAGGCACGCCATTTTGGGTAGAATTAAGGGTACCATAATATACGCAATTAACTCGGTGCATTTTTATAAATACGCAGGGATTAGTCCAAGAGAACAGCAGTGCCCAAGGCAGCAACATTTATGGGTCTCATCTGCCGCGAAGCGCGTTCGCGGTAGGATCTGGAAAATTTAACCGTTACCCTATAAACTGAACAGCTACAGTCTAAGCTATTCAGTTTTCTTAAAGTCCAATTAGTAATACTACTTAGGTATAAGTTGTTTATTCAAGGCAGTTAGCAACCAAGAAATTTAACAAAGCTATTGCAATTCAACAGTAAACAATTTTTTTTTATAAATTTTTCGATTACTTTTTAAATTACTTTGAGGAATGGAATTGGAAAAAAAATCAATTACATTTTCAATTCCTTTCAAAGGAATTGGAAAAAAAATTACATTTTCAATTCCTTTCAAAGGAATTGAAATAAAAGAAATTACATTACTAGCACGTAATTTATTCCAATTACAATATGAAATTCCTTGTAATGGAATTAAAGAAAAAAACAATTCCACTTGAAATTACTTCAAGGAATTGAAAAAGTAATCGATTCCTTTGCTGTGAACTAAAGGAATTGAATCCTAATTACAATTACTGAGGAATGTAATTGTAATTGTAATGTAATTGCATTTACCCAGCTCTGATAACTATGGTGTTGAAGCACTGCGACGACAGCTAATGAAGTTGAAAAGGTAAGTCTACGACTTCATCGAAACAAAAAGTGTAGTGTATTATATCAGCCTGCGAAGGAGCTCGCTTGAGGCGCAGGCCTGTCCGACGCATAATCAAAAAAAAAGGCTCACAGTAAGTAGTTTCAAGAAAACCGTGTCTTAAGAAAAATGCACTGAGACTGCAACCTTCGGGTATAAATTAATCAGATCAAATCCTGTTTTTGAACATTTGCGGTTAGCAATTAAATAAATTTCTAAGAGCTACTTCATCTTATTACCTAAAAAATTTGGAAGCTGGTAAATAGTAGTAACAAAATTGGATTAATCAATAAAACATATTAAAATGATTTTCCACGCACATGTATTTCATGTATTTGAATTACTAAAAAAATGACTAATCCATTACATTTCGACAATAAATCATTGTTAAATAAAATATGTTACATTTAATCATTTATAGCATACTTTAAAAACTATACTCAAAAATTAATTAAAACCAAAATAAATTCATACTTATTATCCTTACGCAAACCCAGCACGTTCGACAAAATAAATTACGAAACAACACAGTAAAAAATTGAAGCATACACCTGCATACAGCGAAAGTAAGATTTTTTGGTAACTCGTTCCTCGCTGTTTTGTTCCAATTGTGTTGTGTATTTAATTTTTCGGCGCCACCGCCTTTTTGTAACGGCGATACTGATTGTAGCCAAAAGGGTTCACCAATTGATTGGGACGTGCGCGCAATTCTTGTGTGGCTAATTGCTGTTGTTGTTGCTGTTGCTGCTGCTGGTTGTGTTGCTGTTGTTGTTGATGTTTCTGTTGCTGTTGTTGGTCTTGCTGCAAATTCTGTGGTTGTTGTGTAAAGTTTTGCCCACTTAAATCACCCAGCTGACCTGGCAATTGCCCCTGACCAGCCAAACCACCGCCAAAGAACGCATTCGATTGTTGTTGTTGTTGTTGGACGCCAGGGAATTGCGAAAATGGTGGCTGCAATTGTCCAGCAAGTTGCTGTTGATATGTGCGTTGCTGTTGTTGTTGCAATTGAAAAGGTGTTAGCTGTTGCTGTTGGCCTGGACGTAGTGGCTGGCCGCCGCCAGAAAATTGGCGAAAAGGTGTTTGATATGGATTCAAATTGGGATTTATTCCTTGCTGGTAAGGTTGTACGCTCGATATATACTGCAGCGACTTGGCGATTGCGTCGGGTATGGGTGGTGGTGTGGGAATGTGCGCACCCTCAGCGCGAAAGCCTGCTTGAAAAATCAAAAAAAAAAATAATGAAGTAGTAGTGCTTTACAAAATAATGTGCAAACACAAATTAACCATTCTCATCCGCTATATAGCGTACAGTGATGGGCGTGCCCTCCGGTGAGGTATACGAGTATGAACCTTGCACCACCTGCGCTTCGACATCTTCGCCTAAGCCAAGATTTTTCACATACCCCTGCGCCTGCGCGGTAGTGCCATCTGCTGAGGCGTAACCATATGAAAAGCTGCCGTCATAATTGAGATCGTTCTGATAGGCGGTAATGGGCACATAGTTCTGTTGGTCAAGACGATTGTAGATGCGAAACGGGTTCTTTAATAAACAATCAATGTTAAGTATGCTAGATAATACTAAAATGTGGTAATAATTTGCTACACTCACCTGCGCTCCTATGCCAGTGAGCGGTGAGATGGGCGATATGCCACCCAGCGCTGTTCCAAGCGGCTGCAGCGTATTTAAGGTATTCGGAAAACCTTGCTGCTGTTGGCGTGGTTGCTGTTGCTGCTGCTGTTGTTGCTGTAACTGTTGACGTAATTGCGTATGCTGTTGTCGCTGGAATGGTGATTGATTGAAGAGTGTATTCGTTTGACAGCGGCATGTATGCTGCGACAAGCTGAGCGATATTACTAACCCGGCCAAGAGCTGGAAGTCAATGTAAAGGTAATCGCTAGTAATGTAAAAACAAAAATAATACTGGCAAGTGCAACAAATCATAAATGCACGACTAAGGGTCAAAAAAAAAAAATAAATATTAAGGTGTTGTTTGTATTACTCGAATTAACGAATATAATTAGGTGATTATGTTTTGAAATGAACGCAACATGCAAATGCTTGGCGGAATTATTTCCTCAAAATAAACGGTGTTTTTGTACCTACATAACTGCAAAAAAATAAAACAGTTCTCAGCTTGCCGGAAACGTCGAATTGCTCTCAGCGATGGCGAAATACCCATTTTCGCGGATGGCTCCAAATTGGATATCGGAACAGGATCTGGCATCTACTCTCTGGAGGTATCTCTGAGATAGCCTATAGACTCCCAGATCACTGCGGCATTTTTCAGGCTAAAATATATGAAATCCACATGGCGGCAAGGTCGATGAGCATGACCGACCAAACTCCATCTAAACTTGCCTTCCTTGTTGACAGTCACGCGGCTATCAAAGCCTTAGGGTCGGCGCAACAATTAACGCCATATGCGTTAAAGAATGCCGAAAATCCCTACAAGCTCTACTGCAAAATGAGGAAGCGGACGAATATTCTAGATAGGGATATGAGATGTGGCTCGGAGAAGCGATCCAGATCGTGAAACCTCCCCTGCGATTTCTCTCTTCAGAAGTCGAGAGACTCTTCTAGGGAAGCGACCACCAGTAGGTGTGAAAATCTGCATCTGGCCACGGCTCAATGAACGAAGAACAAGGAGTCTCCTAACGCAAACTCAGCTGACATGATTGGTGTTAACCGCCTCCTACTAAACCAACACGCCACGCCGAACTAAATATATGGAGGTAGGTGGAAATAATAGTTAACGTGCACCGATTTCACAGAAAATTGACATGTGCTCTGATTTTTCTTAGGAACTGGCAATTGTGAAATTTGTTAAAGATGGGACAATTGCCACGCCCTCCACTCTTGTGTGCAGAAATATATAATTTCAACCGGTTTCGAGTTTGTACTCTCCATTTTATTAGAAAACCCTAAATGTGAAATATGGGGAAGGTCGGATTACTTTAACATCTACAACTCGCAAAAAATGTGCGTCCAATCATTAAATATGATGGAATTTCAGTTAATTTGTGTTTTCTGCTTTCCACCCAAGAAAAAGTGTTTATAGCATAGGAATAACATAGGTGCAAATATTCCCTCTTCCTAATATTTGGTGTGCTTTTTCCGTTGCTCAAAAAATTCTTCTCGCAAAAAGAAGGTGAAAGTCGAGAAATTAATGTCGAAAATTACATTAAATTTTCTAAAACATGCGATTAATTTCAGGACCTGACGAACCGGTTCCCACTTTTTATACCCGAGCGCACTTGTGCACAAGGGTATTATAACTTTGTTCACATAACGGTTGTTTGTAACAGGCAAAACGAATCGAGATAGATATAGACAAATGTATACATAAATGATCAGAATGAAAAGAGAAATCGATTAAGCGGTGACTGTCTGTCCGTCCGTC